TGTGTGTGTGTGTGTGTGTGTGTGTGTGTTTTTTTTAAAGGAGGAACTACGGCCCCAGTTTGAAGCCAAATACTCCCGGAAGGAGAGAGTAAACCCCATCTCAGGGAAACCAGAGCCCTTCCAGCCCTTCACAGACAAACTCAGCCGACTCATGGTGTCTGTTTCGGGAATCTTCTTCATGGTAGGACTCTGTGTTCGAATTTTTCCTAAAGCTACAACAAGCAGATCAGAATAATTACCACCCCGTCATGAAAATTGGGATGAGAATTGTGCGGAATTTAACTATTCTGGTTTCACTTCCTTTTGTTTCTTAACAATTTCACAAACACTTGTATATTTTAAGATGTCCTTGTAGAACGTATGCGTATAATTAATTAACATTTTAGCTTACTATATTGTTAGGGTAAAGTTTGGTTAATTGCTTATAATTGTTCATAATTTGCTGTTATTACTATAGTAAATACATGTATCGTGTAACAAGCGTACTGCAAAACTGAGTGTTACACAAATATTTTAGCAATTTAATTTTGCAGACGAAGGAATGGAAAATATTTAGAAAATATGTTTTATTTTGCAGTGTCTTTTTTTCACGTGTTATATGTACTTATTATAGTAATAACAGTAAATTATGCATAATTGCATGCAGTTACCCCTAAAACAAACCCTTATCCTAACCCTTACCATATTGTGAGTACAAGTTATGAATTAATGTTACTCAGTACTTAATTGCATAACAATGACGTCTTAAAATAAAGTGTAACCATTATTTCATAACAGGCTGCTGAGAGCATTACATTCAATAAGTAATGTTTTCGGGGGTAACACTTTATTTTAAGGTGTCGTTGTTACACACGTTACATGTTCTTACTATTATAATAACACTAAATTATGCATAATTACATGCAAGTAACCGTAGGCCAAACTCTAACCATATAGTAAGCACATGTAGTTAATTAATATACTCCGTACTTAAATGTATAATTACACCATAACAAGGACACCTTAAAATAAAGTTTAACCAGAATAAATAATATTACTCGATACTCTTTTGTGTAATTACACTGCAATAACACAAAAGCCAAATCATGTCTGTGTACAGGCCAAGAAAAGGTAGAATTGCAGATATTTGCAGACAAAATTATCCTCTTAAGATGCATTTGTACTTGGTATGATGCATATGTTACATATTGTATGCCGGTGTTTCATCCACAAATGCAAAAGAGTGCAGACGTCACAGCTGAATGTCATGAAAATCCATAAGCATCCATCACCATCATCAGTTACGAACCCTATTTGTCACCCTAAAGAATATTTAAAATGAAAACAAATAAAAACTTTAAATATGATTTTTATTGATTAAAGTTAGATCATAAAGCTGCACTATACCATAAATAACTGTCTCCCTCTGGTGGCCTTGAATTAAAAGGCAATGCATATCAAAACTATACCTAACTTCTGCAAGATTCCGATATAGATCCATCTATTTATAATATTCCAGTCTGACACCTCGTTCACCTCTCGTCATCTTTCTTCCAGATCTCTCTGGTCCTGACAGCCGTGTTCGCCGTGGTGGTGTTCCGGCTCATTGCCATGGAGAAGTTTGCTTCCTTCCAGTGGGAGTTTGTGAAGAAGAACTGGCAATTCGCCACATCAGGCACTGGAGTCTGCATCAACTTCATGATCATCATGTCTCTGAATGTGGTTAGTCCTGAAGGCAGAGACACAATAAAGTTTTTGCACGAAAGTTTCACACAAAAAGAGAAAAAAGGCTTTGACACAAGAAATCAAATGAAAGCAAAACACGCTTTGAAGCAATAAAACGATTATTACAAAATAAAAAAAAAATAAAAAAAACTTTAATGCAAAATAAAACTTAGTGTGAAAACATAAACGGATATATTCTCTCTCCTGAAATGGTACCATGGGAATAAAATAAAGCATATCATGGAATATATTATAATATTGTCAGCATTAATTAGTGCTGTCAAACGATTAATCGCGATTAATCACATTCAAAATAAAAGTTTTTGTTTGCATAATATATATGTGTGTACTGTGTATATTTATTATGTATATGTAAATACACACACATGCATGTATACATTTCAGAAAAATGTTATGTTTATATATTAAGTATATTTATTTATAATATAAATTATATGACTATAAATATAGACATGTAAATACATGTAAATATTTTCAAAATAAATATTGTATGTACAGTATGTGTTTTTATATATACATAATAAATATACTCAGAACACACACTTATATTATGCAAACAAAAACTTTTATTTTGGATGCGATTAATCGCGATTAATCGTTTGACAGCACTAGTATTAATAATAATAACAACAACAATATTCAGTATAATTTGTGTTGTCAATCCATGAGATTCAATGTGGTTTTCGTGGCATGGCTGTTTTCACGGCACCGGCCAATCAAAAAAATCCTTTTTTTACATTTCTCATTTCACAGCATCTCAGATGTTGGTCTGGTTATTCTAAAAAAAACAGAGCCTCAAAATGAAACCATCAAAATGATTGACTACTATTACATGTTGTCGCTCCCAGACATAAAACATAAGGCCAGCAAACGTAAACTTTATTAAAGCGTTTTGTCTGCATCCTTAAAACAGCAAGTCATTGATTCAATAAAAGAGTGAATTTCTGGGCGGTAACAACCTAATTTCCATTTCTATGTGGCACCAATGTGACAATTTTATTTTCCTGAAGACAAGAGATGAAAATGCCACTTTCTCTAATAATATCATTGCAACTTAGTTGGAAATATAGCAACTTACATTAACTTTCAAAAGTTTGGGCTTAGTACGTTTTTTTTTGTGTGTGTGTTTTTACGTTTTTTAAAAGAAGATGCTCACTAAAGCTGCATTTATTTGAGAAAAATGCAGTAAAGATGGTTATATTGTGAAATATTATTACAATTGAACAGTTTTCTATTTTAATATATTGTAAAATGTATTATGATCATCAAAGCTGAATTTCCAGCATCATTACTCCAGTCTTCAGTGTCACATGATCTTCAGAAATCATTCTAATATGCTGATTTGCTGCTCAAGAAACATTTCTGATTATTATCAGTTATTAACAGTTGTGTTGCGTCATGTTTTTGCAGAAACCACAATGCATTTTTAGAATGCTTTGATAAACAGAAAGTTCAAAAGGGCAGCTTTTTTTTAATGGAAATAATTTGTACCATTATACTGTCTCTCTTGATAAATGCATACTTATCGAATAAAATTATTAATGTCTTTTAAAAGTGAATGAATGAATGAATGACCCCAAACTTTTGAGTGGTAATGTATGTTATATTAACAACTTGTTGGTTATTATAAACCGTGTATTAAATGTATTATTTATGGTATTTATTTATTTATTTATTTATTTTCATCCTTCTCTGTAATGCTACTGAGTGGATTTTCTTTTACCCATCAGGTCTATGAGAAAGTGGCCTACCTACTTACAAACCTGGGTAAGTATTGATTTAGTCAAGGTTACTATTGATTGAGTGAGTGTAAAATTCTTGCGGTCTGTGAGAAACTTTCCTCATGCCTGTAACATGCGGTGCATGGCTAAAATACTGCTCACTTGTGATCTAGAGCATCCACGGACAGAGTCAGAATGGGAAAACAGCTTTGCCCTCAAAATGTTCCTCTTCCAGTTTGTCAATCTCAACAGCTCGACCTTCTACATCGCTTTCTTTTTAGGAAGGTAAGCAACTCTTGATCTTGTCGATGCATTGTTCAGTACTTCATTCGCCCAGATTGTACCACTTGAGATCTGTTCATCGACTCATACAGGAACTTCGTGGCGCTAGCGCACATGCTAACACAACCGCCTCCCTCACAATAGCATGGCTAATTGAATTTCAAAGCTAATTTCACATGTGTTATTGTGATGTGTGTGTATTCCGCAGGTTTGCTGGCAGGCCGGGTGACTATAATAAGCTGTTTCACCGGTGGAGGATGGAGGAGGTGGGTGAGACAAGGCAGTAATGAGTTTTCTCACACTTGGTTATTATTGCCCTTCGGCATGATCAACATTCCCCTATCAAATATCGGCCTCAGTTATGCAACTGCCATGAGATTTCAATAAAAACTGTCATTATTTAGAGCAGACTCTCTCATAATTGCCTCAACATAACAACTGTGGTTGCTCATAACACTAGTGTACTGATTTAGATCTAGTCTGTGTACAGCATGTAATATAATCAAAAGCGCCCTTATGAAAAACAAATGTGCTTAAGTGTATTGAATTCAAAACGTAGAAATCTTAATCTTAAGAACTGCACTTGCAGACAGTATTATTTTAATGAAATAAAAGGCCACTTAAGTGTAACTACAGAAAGAGTCCTCTTAGATTACACACCCTACTTTTAAAAAGTGCTATTATCAAATTAAAAGTTTTACTTTAAAGTACATTTTAAATCACTGTTTTACTAATTTTTGTTGTGTTTTAAGGAAGTACTTTTATTTTGATGTGATGACTAGCATGTAGAGTACTGGGTTATAATTTTGTGTGTTATTCACAGTGTTGGGCAGTAACTCATTACTTAGTAACGCGTGACTGTAATTTGATTACTATTTTAGTAACGGAGTAATTTAACACGTTATAAATTTCAAAATAGTAATTAGAGTACAGTTACAAGCCGAGGTCTCTATACATTACTGCCGCGTTACATTGCTGACAGAATGCAGTGTTTTATAATCTAGACCTTGTAAAAAGGATGTAGCACACACGCTGTCGAGTCAAGTGCCAGTGGATTAGAGACCTGCTCCCGCGAGACCCGACGCAACAGAGCGCGGCATAATGTATTTTAGAGATTATAAATGCAGCACTCTTTGCTGGCATTGTCATGACAAACCATGCGACCATTCGAACATGACAGGAGAGAGACTAAACAGTTCGCAGCCGCTTGCTTTAGTTAAAAATAACAGTGTTCTGTGAATGTTGATGCTTTAATAACAAATATTTATCAGGAGCGTGTATGCTGGGATTTCATAAATTTCATGGAGAAAAAAGTAATGTAACTAGTAATGTAACTAATTACTAATTACTTTTGAAATAAAGTAATCAGAACAGTAATGTGACTACTTTTAAAGAGTAATCAGTAATCAGTAATTTGATTACATTTTCAGAGTAACTTGCCCAACACTGGTTATTCAGTATTACAATTAAAAGTTAATATATTTTAAATGTACTAAACTGCAACTTTACCATTACAAATATGTAAGGTAACACTTTATTTTAAGGTGTCCTTGTTACACATGTTACATTTACTTACTAAATTAATAACAATTAATTATGCATAATTAATTGTTATTAATTTAGTAAGTAAATGTAACATGTGTAACAAGGACACCTTAAAATAAAGTGTAACCATATGTAATTATTATAAATATTTAAATACACATATGAGTGTCAATGGGAATGACGTTGTAATACATTTTAGTTTACCATGAATTCTTGTCAGTACATTCAGCAGAACATTTTAACCATGTTTCAAAGACTATAGAAGTAATTATGAAATAACTTTATTTACAGTCTGTGCACTTATGTGTACTTACAGTGTAGTTACATAAAAGGTACTGTAATGTAAGGTAACTACATGGGTTAAGGTTAGGTTTAGGGATAGGTTCAGGGTTAGTACCTAGTTATTACCTAGTTATTGTAACAGCTACATGGTATGTACATGCGGAACCGGACTGGAAATAAAGTACTACCCATATACAGTCATTTAGTGGGTCAAAACACTCTAAAATTATAGTAAATGCATTTATTCAAAATTTTGACTTTATAATGAATTAAATGCAATTAAGTGTCAAAGAACATTACATTCAGTTTAGACTTAAGTTTATCCTTTTAAAGTATATTATTTCCTTAATAATATTGTTTTTGTAAAATGTGCTAAAGTGTACTTCTATTTCACAAGGGTAACCTAAATGTATATGTATTTTTTTCTTTTTAGTGTCATCCCAGTGGTTGTCTGATTGACTTGTGCCTACAGATGGGAGTGATTATGGTGTTGAAACAGATCTGGAATAACTTCATGGAGCTGGGCTACCCGTGAGTATGTGGCGTCAGACCTTGGGAGGCCATGAAACATGATGATCGGGCCCTCCTGCAATCTTAAAACACAAGATTGTTAAACAATCTCAAAGTCTGGGACAAAGCTGCTCTGTGTTCATATGTTCGGACTATAAAACACTTTGCTAACAACAAATGTTGTATTGTCGATTTAACTGATTCTGAATTTTGTTTAGTCTCTCTCCTGTCATGTTCGAATCACACAGTATTGTATATCGTGTTTATCACAATGCAGGTGGCATGTCAAATTGCTCTTGTAAACCCATTTTCCTCTCAGATGGAGCTGGTGTAAATGGCATTTTGTTTGATTGTATTGCTTCTTTCTTAACCCCTAAACTTACACGGTATTCAGATTTACAGATTTATTCGTGTCACTTTGTCATGCCTTTCTTTATCTTTCTTTATACACTTTATTTCATAAGATCCAACTTTGTTATTGAGTGTATGAACACAGAGGTCAGTGTTACTCAATTATTAGCCCGAACAGGAGGTGTTTGCAGCACTGAACATTCAAAGAGAGATTTTTGTCCTTAGTTCCAGTCCACTGCGTTCACGGCTGACTGATTTTGCCAACCCTGCAGTACAGAGAGAAATGTATGCCTCATCAGAAAGAGCCTCGACAACAGAGTGTACTTAACCATGACGAGGGATGTTAGTTTAGATTAACATTAATGTGCTCTGTTCAGTGTTCACAGAAAAACGGCAACTCTGCTATTATTAACTTGAGCTTATTTTGTTTTAAAGCCTTTTTCGGGGAACTTCTCTTCCCTTGTAAACATGAAGTGTACTTAGTTGTATTGAATGTGCAGTACACTGTTTAAAAGCGCACTTTGTAACAACATCAAATTAAAAGTTTTAAATATTTGTGTTTTAAAGGGGTCATATGATGCGATTTCAATTTTTCCTTTCTCTTTGGAGTGTTACAAGCTCTTGGTG